GAAGCAATCAAAACCAACAAAAGAGCAATAATATGCAAGTGCTATATTAGTATATTATTATAGTTATATTTCAATTTCACAAAGAAACGTACAGTATTTTGTCTAAGCAATAATAAAAGGACACATTTAATTTATCATTTGTCTTGAATCTCATTTTGTTAAAAAAAATTACTGTCGTTACATCTTTAACAGTAATTTAATTCAGCTACCTTATGCTCTATTAGAGGCCGGAGAGTTAGAGCAGACTGTGCTTTTTTTTTGGGGGGGGTTTGTTTGGGTTTTTTTTTAATAAACATGATAATTGTAAAGAGAAATACCCCAGGTCTTCATGAAAGACAACAAACGCTCTAACATCACCACTTTTTTGTCCATTGTCTTGTGTATGTTTCTATGTCTCAATGTTTCAGTAGTGAACGTGAGACTGAGTCTGCAAATAGTGAGATACGCACACTGAAACTGACAGTTGTGCATATAGTTAGACCCATCTAAAGAGACTGAAGAGTTGTGAGCAGAGTCAGGTTTGGGCTGAGGGGGTTGTTTATTTAGTGTCCATTAGCCAAGCCGTTTTTGTGCTCAATAATTTAGTTTGCTGTTGCCTCTGGGGACTGAGAGAGCGATAGAGTTGTAGAAAAATAGAGGAAAGAAAAAGGAGTGACTTTCATTCAGAGAAGAAGTGGAGTTGGGAGTCTTTCTCATCACAGAGTGTTTGGTTATAGGTCATTCGTGGGGATGCGACACAGTGCGATGAGTTGCTTGTTAGTGGTGTGTTTAATGTTTACTCTGAAAGGTAGAGGCATGGTTCACCTTAAGTCTCAGGAGAAAATGCTTCGTTAGCCCTAAATCAGACAGACATTTTATTTAACAGCTCCCCAAAGATGGTTTAACCCCATTTACCCTCTCAAGAGCTGTGTATACACCAGTTTGCACAGCCTTAAGAGACTCTACGTCCTCATGCTTGTTGTGTGTGTGTGTGTGTGTGTGTGTGTACTGAAGCCGAGCTCAGGCCGATGTAATGGGAGAGGACAGGACAGACAAACTCAGGATAATAACCTGTCCCACTGTGTAGCCTCGTCCTCTGATCAAACACTGTTCAAATTGAGGGCTCTCAGAAACCACAGCACAGATCAAATGTAACAGACGGCCACCCTCACCAGAGCATCACAGAACCTCTCCAGAGCCACACAGTAGGCTCTCTGAAGCTTTTTTCCCCTCTGTCCCTCCTCTTTTTATTTTCAAGTCTTTGTCCTTGGTTAAATTGAGTTCCCTTTCTTTCTTTTTTCTTTACACCTGTATCACAGCACACATTTATAATAGGAAACAAGTTCCTTAAAGTCACCATGTAACGGAAGCGACAGATCTTTCTTTCATATTGTGACATCCAAGGGAAAAAGAAAAAAAATATAGGGTGGGAACTTGGTCCTATCTCTTGGTTGTTGTTTGGATGGAGGCAGGAATTGAGGACCAAATGATTGGAGAAATCTGGCATATGTTACCAGAGAAAAGTCTCAATGGAAAATTTAGTTGATAATTTGATTATAAATTGAGGTCAACACAAATTGGCAAAAAAAAAAAAAAAAAAAAACCAGG